TTTTTTCTCATTTTTTCTTTCTTAGGAGAAACAGTAGTGAATGTTTTAGACTTTAAGAAGGATGCTGGACTGTGGCATGGCATGTTTGCGGTAAGCTGTTCAGAATCAGGGTCTTTAGTATAAGTTGTTCCTAAGATTGAGGCTTTGTAACTACTGTAGCTCTCAGAATTTGAAATTGAAGTTCCCCAAATAAACAGTATTATTCTAGAGGACATGGCTAACATTTCCATCAAATAAAGATATTGAATGAGTGCCACACAAAAGTTACATCTGGGCTGGGCATGGTTTTGCAGGCCTTTAATCCCAGCACTTGGGAGGCAGAGGCAGGCAGGTCTTTATGAGTTTGAGGCTAGCCTGGTCTACATAGTTCTAGGTCCTGCTGGGGCTGCAGAGAGGCCCTGTCTCAAAAAGACCAAAAAAAAAAAAAAAAGTTAAACCTGGGCTGGGGAGATGGCTCATTGGATAAAGCACTTGCACATAAACGGCGCTCCTCATTTCAGATCCCCAGAGCCCATGTAAATCCAGCATGCATATACAGAACACATCTGTAATTCCAATATGAGATGGGAGGCAGAGACAGGAGAACCCCCGAAGCTTGTGGGCCAGCTAGTCTGGTGCATGCAGTGATGAACAACAAGAGACCCTGTATCAGGGCTGGAGAGATGGCTCAGTGGTTAATAGCACATGCTGCTCTTGAAGAGGACTAGAGTTCAGTTCCCAGCACCCATGTCAGGCAGCTCATAACTGTCTGTAGTTCTGGCTCTAGGGGATCAGATGGCACTTTCTGGTCTCTGCAGGTACCTGCACACACATATACAGACATACATGCACATAAAATTTAAAAAAAATAATTAAAAAAGAAAAGATTTCGTCTATTTCAGACAAGGTGGAAGGCAAAGGCTAACACCCAAGATTGCCATGTGACTTCTACACACATGCCATGTTGTGTATATTCATACTTACACACACATACCCCTAATCTACTGCAACTACAGAAGAGAGGAATGCTCCCTGTAATAGAGGAGTAGGTGGCACGCTATAGGTTATTAGAGAAGGGTGACTTTTTGGCTCTGGTCATCAGGGCAATTTTTGTGAAATGAGGATAGCTGGACTTAGTTGGATATGTTGGAAAATAGGTAAGCTTTAGCTGGGTAAGAATTTTTTTTTTTTTTTTCTGAGACAGGGTCTCCCTGTAGCCCCAGCTGATCTGGAACTCACTATGCAAACCAGGCTAGCCTTAATCTCACCTGCTTCTGCCTCCCAAGTGCTGGTATTAAAGATATGTACCTCTACGCCCAGTGTTCTAGGTAAAGATTTTGGTAGGTAGAGCTGGAGAGGGTGCATTTGTTTCAGGAAGCTATACTATGTAATATGCCATTTAGGAGGAAAGAGAAGTACAGGACTTCGGAATTGAGAAGGACCTTAGAGGGCATCTAGTCTAGAGACTGGAGGGATAGCTCAGCAGTTACGAGTGCTTACTGCTCCTTCAGAGAACTGAAGATCGGATCCTAGCACCCATGTTAACACCTCATAAACATCTTTAACTCCAGCTCCAAGGGATCAAGCATCACTTCTGGTTTCCATGGACACCTGTACATACATGTGTGTGCATGCACACACACATAAAGAAGATAAAATAAATCTGAGAGAGAGAGAAAGACAGACAGACAGACAGACAGACACAGAGAATCTAGTCAAATCTGAGAGAGAGAGAAAGACAGACAGACAGACAGACAGACACAGAGAATCTAGTCTAACTTCCTGAGCTCCTAAAGGAGTCTAACAGAAAATGAAGTATGAGGAGTGGAGAGAAGGGCCCCTTTCACCTAGGAACTCCTCCCTCTC